TCCGAGAAATCAACAACGTAGACATATTCACATGGCAAGGACAGCAGGGATGTTCACGTGTGGCCTTGGGTGCTCCATTGTGCCCCTGTTGCCCCAAGTCGGGAAAGTTCACTCCAAGCTTGATCGAATCCAAGCTCCACACTCTAAGAGGTACAGGAGGTACACGAAAAGCATCAGAAAGACCTGCAAATGTATGTTCTTCCAGCCTGACTTTTTTCATTTGCGTCCGCCCACCAAATGTTTCGATATTGCATGTAGCATAAGAATAAAACATAAAGTATATATCATTTAATTGTCATTACGTATATATCTGTATGTGGGTATGGTATGTATATATATATATATGTGTGTGTGTGTGTTATATAACAATTGTCCTCTTTCCTTTGGCCCAGTCCATCTTGCCCTGCAGCTGATTGGCTGATTGTATATTACTATATTATAGTGATTCTGGGCTATGCGTATTTGAGGGGATCTCAATTGAATGAAGTGCAACAATTCGTTTGGATTGAAGGTAGTATGCACAAGAGACATTAAAAGCAATGCCGTTCCCATGGGTACACCAACCTTGTGCAAAAACTGACTGAATTGTCACGCAAAAGTTGGGATAAGATGGGATAAGCTACTTCACTCTTCGCAAATTTGTTGGCTCATATGTGGCTCAAGCAAACATGGGCCACTGCACTGCAACTTTGGTTTTGAGGTCGTGCGTCAAACTGAGGTTCACACCACAACTGCTGCGCCGATGACCACTTTGGGGGAGGCCTGAGGCATGACCAGCGTCTGGTGCATCAATCATTACATCATAAACCTAAAAGGATCAACTTCCCGGATTTTAACAGCATGGATGTTCTCCTCTTGGCCAGCTGTCCGAGTGAGCTCGCGGCTAGCAGTGTCACGATCTTCTTTTCTTCCTGCTCTTGCTTGTCCTGCCACATGCAGGAACAAGACGCATAAAGTCGCAGCACGTGAACATCCGCGCCAAAATGCAAAAACCCTTGGGCGTCCCATGGGCAAGTCTTCTGGCTCGGAACAACACCCCCTCAACACCCTCGCTGTGACCTTCCAAGCGACTCAGAAGACCGGTCGTACACTGCACAGGTTTGTTGGGCTCGAAACGCGTGAAAGAGTCCAGCAATGTCCAGCAACCCCATCAAATAAGATCCTTGATGATAATGTATCATAATGCACGCGATCACAGTAGGCAAAGTGGGTCGAAAATCCCTGAGGGTTCTGCCGTCCATTGCGGAACCTCTTTGGTCATCGGTCATGTCGATGTATCAACCAGAGCGAGTGTTTAAAAAAAGAAACACGTATGGTGTAATAACATGTAGTGACTTGACTGAATCAATCTTTGTGTGTGTGGGGGACCACCCGTATTCTAAATAAGAACTAAATTCATCGGACGTCCGACGTGCCGACGTGGCACGTCGGAAAAGCAATGCAAGAGAACAACTGCACGATGCAAGCAGGACAATTCCAGCTCCCAACATGCCAATCCTCTGAGACCGTCATGTCAACCCTCCAAATGGGAGAATTCACAAAGGAACCCATGAAGTATCACAACATCATGACCTTTTGAATCAAATCACGAATGGCTCGCCTTCTTAAGCCCAGGACACGCTCTCTTCCCCCGCAGGTCGCGCTTTGGAGCTTCTCAGCTTCGGCTTCTCGAAAGGAGATTTCAAGACTTCCGAGGCCGAAGCAGGAGCCACGTCTTCCCAAGACCAACACGTCTTGCTGCAGCTCCGGGTGAAGCATCCCAAAGGAACAACGTTGTACCCTTTGTGCTGCAGAGGCTAGTTACTTTTACAGTACACTCCCCGAAACAATCATGGAAGTAGAAAATGGTCCCTTGAATGACCATCGACTCTACAAACACATGGTTTTCCACTTCCCTGATTTTTTCAAGGAGTGGTTGACCCAACATCCCTCCACAGCACGGGGTCCCCCATCCCTCGAGTCCGGTTAATTCCGCGTGCATCCACATGCCGCAAATCTCTGGACGATGTGGGGAGATCGGCCGAAGCACAGGCGAACACCAACGACGGCTGGTAAAGACTCGAAATGAAGTACCACCCTCTCATGTTGGAGCTACCTTGCACATGTGTTGGAGTTTTGGATATGATCTCTATGTAGCTTGAACTCTTGGGCCAAGGGCCATGCGCTTCTTTGGCAGGATGTGTTTCACAACTCTTCCGATCCGCCCCGCCAGAGTCTGGACGAATTCGTCGTCTGAAGAGGCTCGAGCCTCTCCCGAACCTTTGCACGCTCCCCAGACCATGAACCAATCAGAAATGTCACCAGGTGGTTTCATGTGGTTCTTCCATTACCCATGCAGTGCGGCTCAACATCATGGCAACCGTGATGTAAACACTAATGTCTAAGGTTCCCGTGGGGTTAGGGAAGCAAGTTAATGCCCAATGGATGTGCAGTCGTAGAATGAGCTCCACTTGGAGCAAGGGGATCACTTGCGACACCAAAACTGGATCACTTGCGACACCAAAACCTACCCAGGACAGACTCACTTGCGACACCAAAACTGGATCACTTGCGACACCAAACCTACTACTACCACTACTACTACTACTACCACTACTACTACTACTACTACTACTACTCCTGCTACTACTACTACTACTACTACTACGACTACTACTACTACTACAGTTACTACTACTACAGTTACTACTACTACAGTTACTACTACTATTACTACTACTACTACTACCACGACTACTACTACCACGACGACGACGACGACGACGCACAGGCATACGGGCACACGGGCATACGGGCATACGGGTGCACGGGCACACACGGGCAGACACGGGCATGCACGGGCACACGGGCACACGGGCACACACGGGCATGCGGCATGCACGGGCATACGGGCACGCACGGGAGAACGGACACACACTGGGGAATGAGTCTTGAAGTTGGAACGTTAGGGTGATGACAAAGCCCAGAACCTCCTAAGTGTGTGTCCTTGAAAAATTCGACAAACCAAGCAAAGTCGGCGACACGAACGATACGGCAAGTTAAACAGGTGATGCAGGTACGTCAGCAAGCGTCCGGCATCCCCCTGCTCTCCAAAGTCGATAAAGGTCAAAGAAGGTCGTCAACCGCGTGTAAAAGCGGGCTACACACACACAAGGCCCTTTTGGTGGAGGGCTCAGATTACATGAGTAGGCCTATGCGCAACAGTGACTTCTCTGACTGTAGTGTCTGGAAAATTGAACCGGTTTGCGCCGAATAAGCTCCAAGCCAATGGGTCTGATTAGCATCCTTATTTTGAAAACCTCAGAACTGAGTGCCTTAGTTCGATCAGCATGACATCCAATTGCCAGTGTGTGTCTCATGACGTTGTGGCATCTTGACTGAAAACCGGTGTGCCTCATAAAGTAACGAAACAGCAAAACAACAAAACCGTGAAGTTGGAGGCCCTCGCTCTTAGGTTGGAGGCCGTCGAAGGCAAGTGAAGGGGCCATCGCTAGTAGGTTTGTGACAAGAAACAAAAATGCAAAACTGCAAAACCGTCAAAGTTGGAGGCCCTCGCTCTTAGGTTGGAGGCCGTCGAAGGCAGGTTACGGGGCCATCGCTAGTAGGTTGGTGACAAGAAACGAAACCGCAAAACGGCAAAACCATCAAATTAAGTTGGAGGCCCTTGCTCTTAGGTTGGAGGCCGTCGAAGGCAAGTTAACGGGCCATCGCTAGTAGGGTGGTGACAAGAAACGGAACTGCAAAACTGTCAAAGTTGCAAGCCCTCGCTCTTAGGTTGGAGGCCGTCAAAGACAGGTTAACGGGCCAACTCTAGCAGGTTGAATAAAAACGACGACCAGAGGTCCAAGAAGAAGGAGGCCAAGAAACCATGTTGAGGGGCCCAACTGAATCAACTCAAAAGGTTGGGACGGCGTAGGTTCCCAAAGGAGCTCAAATCAAATCGACTTCTGCCGCTTTGCAACTGCGCTCGATGGCAGCTTCTGCCGCTTTGCAACTGCGCTTGATTGCAGCTAAGAACAGTCTGTCTGAAGACTTTGTTTTCCGCTTGTGAGCAACTATACTATCCAACACCACATTGGTGTGCAAGATTCTGGAACCTCCAAAATGAGGACGAATGTCTGCTCGCGGGAAGGCCCGTGCCGTATATAGAGTCCCACGAAGGATCTCGACGGTGTCGCCAATTCTGGCATGCACCCTCTACACACTGGGGAATGAGTCTTGAAGTTGGAACGTTAGGGTGATGACAAAGCCCAGAACCTCCTAAGTGTGTGTCCTTGAAAATTTTGAAAACCAAGCAAAGTCGGCGACACGAACGATCAATGAATTAGCCCTTTACGGCAAGTTAAAAAGGTGATGCAGGTACGTCAGCAAGCGTCCGGCATCCCCCTGCTCTCCAAAGTCGATAAAGGTCAAAGAAGCTCGTCAACCGCGTGTAAGAGCGGGCTACACACACACACCGCCTCCAACCAGCTGAGATGTTGCAGCAGGGTTCCAGCATCTGGAGACTCCTTGGCCGTTAGCAGCTGACTGGACCTAGTAGAAGCGCCAGCAGAACTGCTAGAAGCCCTAGTAGCAACTCTGGTAGAAATGCCATAGAAGCCCTAGTCGACTAGTAGAACCCCTAGTAGAACGTCAGGCGGAAGCCGTGTAGAAAGTGCTGCTACTACTACTACCACTACTACCACTACCACCACTACTACCACTACTACCACTACTACCACCACTACTACTACCACTACCACTACTACCACTACTACCACTACTACTACTACCACCACCACCACCACTACTCACAGGCACACGGGCGCACGGGCACACACGGACACACGGGCACGCAGGGGCATACGGGTGCGTCACAAGTGAGCCAACAGCCCCGCGTCACAAGTGAGACCGAAATCCGCGTCACAAGTGAGCCCCTTTCCTCCACTTGGTCTATAACTAAACTGAGATCTACGAACTGTCAGCCCTAAACTCACACTCTAAAAAATCAATGATATCCATGCATCATCTTTGACCATGGTCTGCCTTCCGAAATGATTCATACAGACTTGGCCACCAGAGACCACAAGCCGAGCACTCACATCTGCTTGCAGTTCTCGCTGTCTTTCCTGCCATGTTGCACTTAAACAACTTTTGTTAGGCCAATCTTGCGCTCAAGAATTGTATGGAGACTCGAGACCATCCATCCGGCAGCGAAAAATACGGAAGCATAAGGAAATACGTGTCAAACCCCAAAGGTTATGGACAGTACATTACAAGAACTTTAAAGATATATATATATAGCATATCATTGTCTAGATGGCACAAACACACGGCCCCCCTCTAGATGGGCAATCTGCGCAACCCCCGTCCCAACGCAAGGTGCACCTGCGCAGCACACGCGGCGCCGTGCTGGATCGCAGCGGCCTCCGGTTCCGGGAGGCGCGGTCGGTGCCACCGGGGCATGGTTTTCGGTTTATCTTGAGCTGATAGACTGATAGGTGGCCCCAGGCCCCAGGTGCCTTCGAATTGCGGTCAGGTGTGCCCAAATGGGAACACCCTCTATACTGGCAACTGAGCAATCTGCACCTTGCGATGCCATCCGTCTGTGCGCAGTCACGACAGTATCATAGAACACCCACTATGCATTTTCTACACAGGATGTTGATACCCATTAAGAAAACTGTCAACTTTGGACATCCATGTCCCAAAGCCGTGACTATCCGTGACTTGACCTCCGAAAACGTTCAAGTCCAATCCATCCAAATTTATCAGCTATATGTCCCCGATACTACTTTGTCAAACCACAAGACCAATGCCAATGGATCTGAAGTTCGGCTCAAACTGATCGCAGCTCCAACTTAGACAACATACAGCACATACTACATGTATATTATATACGGTAATAGTGATTTGTATAAAAAGGGCTAAAGGATTCCCAAGTACTCTGCATAGTCTAAGTCCTAAGGAGATCGAACGTTGGATTCATAGCTTTCCAGGATCTTTGGAATACACCCACCAACCCCACTTTCCAGTCCCGCCAGCTGTCTCCAAACGCACCTGGCCAGATTCGTGGGATGCAGCACCCTCGCTCCACCGCTTAGCGCGGCCTGACGGTGCAAAGGATCCGGTGCCGAATGCGCGGTTTTTGTTCTATATATTGTTTCTACTAGCTTCTTGCTCCTAGTAGTAAGGCCAGGAGCCCCTAGTAGCGTCCTTGCTCCTAGTAGCGATGCCCTTTGCTCCTAGTAGCTGACCTCTTTACAGCACTTCGTCGATGGGGCGACCAAAAAGCGGGGGACTTTCAGTGGGACCTCTCTCTCTGACTCTTTTTGCTATGCTTCTCGAGGTTGTGGCCTATGCCTGGGAAGGAGCCAAGCTATGCTTCATGCAACTGCTATGCTTCAGGCAGTGCATCCTTCCACGGTTTGAAGAAATCTGGGCATGAAACAAGTTTGGCCGCTCTGATCTTGCTGTCCCGAGTGATGATGAAACAGTCTCTGAAGAACAACCTTCAGGGCATACATCTAAACACTCCTAAAAAACCTACAGTGGGTTCAGAGTAGATGGCACAACCCCGTACATGTATAGATGTGGGTCCATATAAACCACCTTTTGGGGATTGTGCCATCTATTCTGAAACCACTATATATAAGAATTATCAGCTGCAAGTTCATTGATTCTTTACGGCGTTCTCTCGCAAATGGCAACCACTTGCCCATGAATCGTGAACAATCCACAAGCAAGTCCCAACTAACTCCTCGATCGGACCGCCCGCTCTGAATGCTCGGAATGGGACCTTTGTTACTGGGATGGTCGGGGATGGTGGGGGGGATGATGGCAAATCAAGATCATTCCTCTACCAACGTTACAAGCCATTCCCTATCCATACAGTACGTATGTATATGTACTTATGTTGAATGAATAAACATACTTATGGCCGATCCAACGTTACAAGCCTATACTTGGTATATAGCATCTTGGCCCTGTCAGAAGCCTTGCAGCCCCCCCGGCAGAGCCTGCGGAAGGGTGGTCTTCAATCGCGATTCAGCCTGCCAATCACAACTGAGGTCAACCCTCGGAAGCCAAGACTCCGACAGGACAAGTCGGTGTGTGCAACCCAGCATTGACCAAAACAACATTACATGCAAGGGCATCGTTGGACCACTAGGGCACGGTTCCGAACAAATTCCGCAGGTCGGACCAGAGCTGCCAATCAATCCACCACCGCCGCACGCCGCACCTTCCAAACTTCGGGTGCTGTGACAGCTGCACGGCCGCTTCGATCACGGCTCTTGGCAACAAAGCTGGGGACCTGCCGGGGGACGAACCCGAGGAAATCCTCAGCAACAAGCAAGTAAGTTAAGTTGAGTTGTGTCATGTAGTGTGATGTATGTATGGATGTATGGACTTGTATGGACCTGTATGGACCTGTCTGTTTGTCTGTCAGCATGGATGTATGTATGGATGTATCTATGGTTGTATGTATGGATGATAATATATATATATATAAACACGGTTATCATGATTGATGTGTGTGTGTGCATATGTTTCTACAAATATGTGTGTGTGCTATAGATCATGATTATCCGGTCTCCAGCTTCTTGCAACCATAGACTGCTCAGTACACAATTGTGTAAGCATGTGAAAGCCCAGCAACATTGTGGTTCGATCTGGCTCGAACTCAGCTTGCAGCGAGAGTAGAATCATGTAACCTTAAGTGTACGTAGGATACGATCAAGCATGTTTCCTCTGAGTCATCCAAAACATTCCGAGTGGGTTTGTGCACTTGACTTAGAGGCCTGACCCCGTATCCAGAGTCCCTTCACATAAGAAGGCACTGACCCTGAACGCACGCGCTTAGGCACCACTAAAGGTCTTGTGGTGAGTCCCCCACCACCCAAATTTATCATCCATGGCTTGTTCAGGGCTGGATGCATCGGCCGGACTCGGCTTCACTCGGCTTCACTCGTCCGAGTTCACCAACTCTTCCCAGCCCACTACGCCAAGCGCTGGAATCAGCCAAACTCACATGTTCGGCTGACTCCACTCGAGGAGATGCTCCATGAACCGTCAATGCCCCACCTCCTCTTCCTGTTGCTCCGCCTCATCCTGCGGCCCGCTCGAGTCGTTGGGCACCCGTTTTGGGTAGCTCAGCCGGGGATCATCACTCAGACTCGCCAGCCAGTCCTCAGCATCCTCAGCTTCCGGCCTGCACGGAGGTAAACATTGAAGTCTTTGGTTAGCGAATCTGCCATCTGTGCGGCACTGTCACCCATTTGATTAGTATACCTTCTTCGAGTCAGTCTTTTAAGACTAGGGCCACCAATTGAGATCTCCACCCAGAATCCGTGCGTCACGAAGGCTCATTAAAACCCGCCCGGTGAAAATCAGCCTCCCAACTCCCAAGCGGCGTTGAGACGATCCTTCCACCTGCTTAGCACCCTGAACAGGTGCGATATGAAACCCCCATGGCTTGCGGCTTGGTACTCTCTTTCGGCCGCCAAAGCAGTTCGAAGCACCCCGCAACAGCACCTCAACACCTTCTAAACATGTGCGTATGGATGGTTTCACCCGTGGTTTTCAGAAAACGAGGGGCCTAACTACAGCCCGAACTACCCAACCCCCGAAAGATCGGTATGCAGATGTGTTTCGTCGGTATGCCAGGGCAGCTATGCTACCCCCCCCCGCCACGAAAAGTCTACCTTTCTTGTCTGTTTTGTGAGCTAACCCTACGGCATCATTACAAAGATAACAGATTATGTTTTCCAATCACTAACTTTAAGAATGGCAAGGAAAAATCCACACATGAATAGGTCAGAGATCAGAGACTTTGGAACCACATGTTGAGGAAGGAAAATGAAGGGAAAACAAATAGAAACGGCAGAATTATATACACAGGAGAACAGTAATAAGCTCTGTTTGTATATGCTATCTTTGTTGCTTCTGTATTTTCTCCATGCATTGTCCTTACAATCTTTGCCGCTATTGCTCTTACAGAACTATATGGTGTAGATTCGTGTAGATAGATAAAAGCACACACATGATGTGATACATATCATGTGAGTGCTGCACACATATGTACAAATCATATGCACATGATGCCATGTGCATTGCTGCATACATGCATTGCATACATATGCGCATATGCACATGATGTGATGGTGCATATAACATGCATGTAATCATAAGCGACCACTGATCTTGGGAGGGTACCACTGATCCGAGTGCATCTTCATCTTCCGTACCGTACCGAGCGCATCTTCCCCAGCCTGGGAGCCCGCACATCACCTGGGACCGGCAGCCAAAGCGGACCAGTGTGCCCAGTGCCAAGTTTGGAGTTCGGAGGAACTGAAAGGCCCAAAGGTTCCACTGACAAAGAAATGGAGTCCACTGCAAAGTTGATATCACGAGAATGCGTTGAGTTACTCACACGAATTACATTTAAAAAGAAGAATTAAACATGCTCGCGTCTGGATCCTGTTTCTGGTTCCTGCCATGTTTTCCACCAGTCGGCTTCTGCTGATCGACCTCTGGTCATTTGGCCTCCCTGCGCTCATTCGTGCGATGAACGGGTGCCACGCGGCACGCCTGCACGAACCGGGAACTGGACGGTTCAACTGGCTAGCCAGGTGGTGCAACGGGTGTCTTGTTTGGACACAAATCCATCGAAAGCAAAGGTGTTGTTGGGTGTCTGTTCTTCACTGTAGTTATATGCCGAACAGTGGATGCTGATAGTCTTCTGAAAACCATCTGAGGAATGGCCACCACCTTTTGGGCGAGAAAAGGAGCCCGGGTCATGGTTCAACAAAATGAATGAACCAGGTAGCATGAATGTTGTTTGTGTTTCCTCGCGCCGCTGTTGCACATTAAGTGGCTATCTTTTGTGGACTATGTCATTCACATGTGTATGGGCATGTGTATATATATATAATATATTATATATTATATAGTATGCATGTTTCATAGGGTTGCTCTTCGCAGATGCAAACTGTCATTTGGACTTGATGTGGGTTCTCTGAGTAGGAACTGTGGACTGGGTGTGATGTTCTTTGATGGTCCAATCGTGTCAAATCAGTAAAGCGTTAATCTGAAGCTCAAGTGACCCAAGCCTTCCTGGTCTCCTCAAGGACTTCTCCTTCGCAAGCCTGAGCTGCGTATGATCAAATGTAGGACAAGCCGGCAAGCTGAGAAGATTGAGCAATTTGGCAGCACCCAAGCCCCGCTATTTTTGTGAATGGAGCATTGGCCCAAATCTATGGTCATCTGAGTCTTTACTTTTCAGCCATGCTCAGCTATGGCACATCTTAGACTCCCCAACCAACTGGCGCCTCTTCGAACTAGGACATCCCGTGAGGGTATATACGGTACACCTGCTGGAAGTGGACATGCTAAACTTCTAAACAACAGCAAAAAATTATACCCCGAAAGAGAAAGCTCGTCTGAAAAGAAATCATCCCCACCTACACCCCGAAAGAGAAAGCCAGTGCTTCCAGAATCTTCCAGATACTCTGAGGAAAACACACCTCACATGGAAGTGGATGAAATGGAACATGCACATATTTGATCAAATTGGTGAAACATCAAATCCATAAATTTCACATCACATCCATAAATGTCCCGATTCTAGAGAAAAGCCGTCTTCCAATGGACCATGCCATCCGCTTGCAAGTGATGTAGTTGTCAAAGTGTTTCAAGTGCGATTGAAGGGCAAGACTATGCAAATCACCACTTGCAAAACCTTCCCTGAGCGGTGAAGGACCTTGTGTTGCCTATTCAAAATTACAAACATGGCTAACTTCCTCAAACACCGTTTGCGACGCTTGACCTCTGGAAACGGACCAATCTCTGAATGAATGTGATCGACTGAAATCCAACTAATTGCAGTGGCTGCGATGTCGCTCCGTCGATGACATGAACCATTGGCTTGGGCATCCAATTCCGGTGTCAACCATTGGCTAGAACAGTTCTTACCCGTCTAGCGTCTTTGGTGTTAGATGAGTCCGCCAAGTCACATCTCCTCTGGCCGCCTTCATCAAGTTGGACCATTCTGGAGTATGAGTAGTCACAGTCAGGAGACACCTTCCATATTATCACGATTTGGGCTGCTCATGGAGAATCCCCGGCCAAAGACTTTCATCTATGTAGCCGTGTAGAAGGTCTCCATGGGTCACCAAGGGTGAAAATCACATGGTGCTTGCCGTGAAAACCTTGGAGGAACCTTTGGCTGACATGCGTTGGTCAGATTCCACCGCAGGCCGAAAGGATGCAAAGCTCCCCAAGATAACAACGCCTCCTTTGTTTCACATGGCGTGGAACCCAGCTCGTCATGGGCTTGGCTTGGTGCACTGTGCGCAACAGTGCTCACCCACCCCACTTGCACGGGAAAAAATATATAGCTTCTTCCCAGCGACAATGTCCGGGCTGGCCTGGCACACGCGAGTTACTTGTCGGCTGAGTGGATGCCATTATATGCAATTTACGTTCTGTGCTCGCCTACGCTTCAGCAAATGTTCACACACAATGCCGATCAATCCCAGGAAAACTCATTGAACGCACCCATGTCAAGTTGTGATTGGTTTGAACGCACCCATCCTTCTTTCCACGATTCCATGATCAGCACTGCGATGCTTGGGCTGACGGATTTCGGCTCGAAGTTCCGACCAGAAAGGGAAGGGGAAACCTTCGATTCGATGACGAGAGAGCGCTGCTGATTCTTCCGAATCCTGTTCTGCTGATGCGGCTGCAACATAGAATCCAACAACAGCAACAACACCAACAACAACAACAACAACAACAACAACAACAACAACAACAACAACAACAACAACAACAACAACAACAACTACTACTACTACTACTACTAAGTTACTACTACTTCTTCTTCTTTTCCTCTTGCAGCCACCCAAAAACCTCTAGCGGAACAACTTTGGCTCCGTGGCTCGCCCGTTTCCACCCGTTTCGAGCCCCTCCCAAATGGACCGCTGCCTCCGGCTCCGGCACCTGTCACAGCGGTCCACCGGCACCGGCACCGTGACGCCGGCCCCGTGAGCTCCCAAGAAAGCGTCTCAGCTTCGCAGGTGTGATCCCAAAGCTCCAAAATAGTCTCTCCCCCATCCAAATCCTGAGAATCCCCCCATGATATGACAAGATCCATTGCAATAGCTGTCGAAACTACACGGTTCATAGAATCAGGTTGACATTTCACAAGTAGTTTGGCAAGCAGGAATGAGTACATACTGTAGACATAGAGCAACTGTGCAGGGTACTTTCAGATGGGACATGTCGTCAAATGCGAAACATCTTCAGCGCAAGCTCTTCTGAGTATACACGCGTTTCCGGCACTTTTCCGCGTTGACCTTCAATCCCAGCCACACAAGAAGCGCTCAGCATCGCTCAGCAATGAATATTCGATGCTGCCCCTCGTCGCTGCCACAGGCAATGAAGCTGGTTTACGAGTCCTATTCTCTTCCAAAACGAGCTATGTCCCTCGGAAGGCAGTAGCCTCCGCAAACATGTTATGGGTGGGCGGAGTGTGTGGCACCGCTGAGACATACCTTGCCACATCTCCGACATACCACAGCATCTAAGGCCTTCAGCCCTGCAGCCATACAGCATGATTCAAACGTTGAACACTAAGTACCTTCAGAAGGCACCTGCTGCCTATCCATGTAACCTACCAGAAGTGGTACGAGAAAAAAAGAAAGAAAGCTAACTTAAGCAAACACCCGTGAGTCATGAGATAGTGCAGCCCAACAGTGTCACACACTTCACTTCAAAAGGGATCTTAGCCGCTTCCGAATGTACTTGCAGGGGATCTCCTTTCCACTGGGTGCTTGTTTGCATCCTTACAATCATTACTTGCACATTGCAAAGAGTTGCGCAACTCAGTCAGTTCAACCACGGGACTGGACTATTCCCTCGCTCTCCATCTCTCTCCCCCTCGCATTCAGATCAAATTGGTCCAGCCAGGTCGGGTTGGGGGGTGAGAAACCAGGCCAAGCAGGCTTTCGGCGCTCAAGAACTTCAGCCGAATAAAATGACATAATACAACCGGCAAAGCAAAGCCTGTGTGGCTGACCAGTTTGCATGGTTTGTCGAGCAACCTGAAGAGCAACATCGAGGGCAGTGTGTCGTCGGTGCAGTGCAGGGTGGCTGACCTGAATCTTGCTGAATCGCCACGCCATCTCAACCGTCCGGCAACGGCCCTAGAGACCCACCCTTGATATGAATCTGCTACTGTCACTAAATGACCTGATTGTAAACAAAATGGTCGGTAGATCTGGGCTGGAGAGCATCTATTATATATTTACTTATATTTAAATAAGGCGTGAACCGATCGACGTTAAAAGTCCCCCGTTCATTTGCATCTTTTCCACGACTGATCCCAGGTGCCACACTCAGTCATCCCAGCGAATTGGTTGGTTGGACAAACTCAAAGGGCGGAATCTGCAGGAACCAAGTTCATCAAGTGGATCAAAACGATCAAAAATAAGAGGTCCAAGGGCCCAAGGGATCTAAAATCTAAAAGCGAGAACCCATCTGCCGCGGTGCCACCTACCAGTCAGCAGGACGAACGGAATCATAACTGCGGCCTGCAGTTTGGTCAGCCACCCACATCGAACGATTCGTTCGATGCACGGTGCGAGCACCTCTCTGCCGATCCTTCCTAAGATCCGAGCTTGCCATCCAAAAGAACGGTGGGCAGTCTCATGATGCCTCCTTCTGTCTTAAGGTCCGGTAAGGTAGCACCCAACAACAACTCCCGACCTGGATCATCCAACATCATCCAACGCATGGTCCAATGGAGATCCCTACAAGCGGCGTACTTAAGTCAACCCACGTCGCGTGAAGTCAACTCACTGCATGGGCACAAGGCTTCAGCAGAAGCCAACCCACTCGCGTGAAGTCGACTCATTTTGGTCAAAGCACAATCGGCACACTTGAAAAACACGAAAGCGACATGTTCAAGGAAACGTGTGCGCACACCGTGCTATGGCTGGCATTTTGCCTTGCTAGCTGCTTTCTAGATGTTTCAAGCCCAAGTCTCAATGGCGCAGCACCATTCACACCAATGCGCAACTTAGAGAACAGGTTGCACGTGCACACACAAGTGACATGTAGGCCTCTGCGCGAGCCCCGCGCGACCCGCGCGAGGTTCGCGCGAGCTTGACTCCTGTAGACGCCCCACGGCTTCCTACGGTCACCGACGACACTTACAGCCAAACGCGAAAGTCCTTGCAAAGCCCTTGCAGCACTTGTTTCCGCATGGGGCACAGCAGCAGGAGCAACAAGCCAGCTGCAGCAAACCAGCAGTCGCCAACCAGCACAGCAGCAGCACCCAACCAAAAGCAGCAGCAGCAGCAACAGCGGCAGAGGAAGCAACAGCAAACCAGCCGCCAGACAGCACAGCAACAACAACAGCATCAGCAAACCAGCAGCATCGGCAGAAGACCAGCTGGGCCCGAAGATCCTTGCTTCACCCCTGTGGAAGAAGCTGCCTCATAAATACAAACGAGTGACAATCAGGCACACCATGGGCACAACACAAAAACATGTGTTATAGATCAATACAGCCTATGCTTAGGCATCCCTGTGAAGTGCAGTTCTGCAAGGGCACACGATTCCGAGTCGACTTTACACAAGCTGAGTCGACTTAAGGCTAGTACCTAGTAAGGTTCCCATCCACAGTAGCGTAGGATAGTCCATTGGTGACACCCACTGGATGGTCCCTGTCGAAAGTCGTTTGTCGACATGCACCTCCTTTGGAATTGGTCTACAGCAATTAAAGTCTATTCCCAGTGAAGAAGTAAGTCTGGAATTGATATTGTAGTCTTCACTGCAGGTTGATCACTCATGGAAGCTTATTTTTGAAGGTCAGAACCTCCTCACATCGGAAAAACGGCCTCTTGGATGCACCAGGCGGTGGCCTCTCCCATTGCTGGGATCTAAATCGATCGGTGAAACAGGTCTATGACTGAAAGGAGCACTTCCTTCTGGGCCAAGACCCATTTGTAAGCTGGTGGTGTGGTCCCTGCACTGGAAAATGAGAATGAAGCTGAAGCTGTTTCTTATCCGTTCTCTGTCACACCTCTCCCATTCCATTTGCAATTGATGTTTGTGTAACTTCGCCCGACGAAGTTTGAAGGAAATCTGCTGCTTGGCGTGGATTTCTATGGATTATCCTGCATGATCCTTCTTCACAAAAAATCACCAAGGAGCACGTAGAGAGTTCAAAAGGAGGTCCTCTTCGAAAGGCCGAAGCACCATCTCAAGGCACCAAGGCCGACAGATACACTAATTACTGACTCCAACAAAACATACACTCTGGCTAACATGGAAGTGGAAAATCCTTGCTTTGGTCAAGGAAAGTCGTCTTCTCTTTCTCCCATTTTCCATTTCCATGTTCGTCAGAGTGTAAGTCAGGTGACAGACATCGAAAGACGTCCGTCGAGCCCTCGGAGGTCCATCGATCCGCGATGCGGACGGCGGCCCAGTAGGTGCACTCCTAGACCAGGCTGCAGCTACTCACCGAGCTCCTCTCGGGCAGTTCCTCCCGAGCCTCACTTTCCAAACGTTTGAGGTAGAGGTATGCGCACGTACCTCCAGGGAGGGACTTCCCCGGCAGCAAAGGTTTGAGAGGTGTCTGTTCCACAAGGTTTGATGCGGACTGGAACTGTTCCGATTTCTTGATGAATGACTGTCCATTGACCGACTGAGACTTAGACTTAGACTTGAACATACTGAGACTTAGACTTAGACTTGAACATACAAATGATTGATCTATTTTTGTCTGTCATCTAAGAGGGATGTAGTAGACTTAGACTCTAGACTTTGTTCGTGCCGTCTTGGCTGCAAGGCACTGGCAGTGCAGAACTAGCGTGATGTTCAAAAAACTGAACCGTCTCATGGATGTGCAAAGTGGAAGAGTGTTGGAGTAAGTAAATGGCTGCAAATCAACAAAACAAAAATAAAAGAACATTGTATTTTTATTCCGTCTTACCATGAGATTTATATACTACATGCCCTTCTTGAAGCAAGCAAATGTGTCATCATCCCCTTGCTGCTTCGAAAAATCAGTATCATTGTGGAGGTAGGTAGGATTGATCAGAACCCTCTTCCTTCAACCTTGTCGGCCATAGTTACAGTAATTCATCGGCACTTGCCATCAACTCGCTTGCGGCGCGGGTTATGCTTATGCTTAATGATGGCTGCCATCAAGATGCCCACACCCGGCATCGACTGCAAATACAAGGCTCCTCCCAAGTACCTGCAAAGCAATGAGCAGGGCAAAGTGGCGCAATGGCATGGGGCATAGGTGTGGTTTCACTACAACGCCTCAGTCCTGAATCATAGTCCTAGTTCTGTGTTGCTACTTGGTCATTAGCTAGATTGCAACAAGGGTTGCGCTCAACCCTTGCAACATCACAAAAGGAAATTCCAGTTTTTTGCCAACATCCCAACCAAATCCATTCTGTGCCCCCAACGGCTATATATATATATATATATACGCAGGAGGCTCGGTCCGCCCGCCTGGCATAGAGCCTGCTCAGTGGCAAACCGACTCCATAACCTTCGCCGGCCGTGACGATTAGAGTCGTTGGGATCCGCCGCACGCCTTTCCCATCGAAACCCCCACGGTAGAGCCGTCTAAGTCTATATCCGAACAGGGACATGAGGGCACGTCGAGTCGTGGCGCCCCGGCGTTTAGTTCCTCAGACCGAGGCTTCACACTTACAGTAGGTCCTCTGCACCCTCTCTGCACCCTCTATTTAGAACTAGGGTCTAGGAGACATCTTTCAAAGTGCGCTTGGAATATGAAGAAAGCGGGCATCTTTGCGCTCAAAGAGTGCTTGTTGCCACGCAGCACGTACACCATCTTGCAGCAGAGACGCCTGCTAGGGGTGTCCCTTGCTCATCAAACTCCCGGGCAGCCTGGCAGAGCATGCGATTCAATTGCCATCAATTCGCGGCAGGCTTCGTTCTGAATCAGCGGAGCAGCC